TCTGACTTGCTGAAAAGGATAAGCAGGACAAGTTCTGTCTACAATAACACTTTTTTACTTTAATATGGTGTATAATTAAGTCAGCATGACCGAAATCATTAATTGACCCTTTAGAGAGGTTTTTGCTCTCGTAAGAAGATTTTTACCAATTTTTGTATTCATGTGGAAACCAAAATAGAATGAGAGAGTTTATTTCAGCACAGTAAGATCTTCAAATAAGACTGACTGGCCTAAATTGTCAACAAACTATTTACATATTTATATTGCAATTTTAACACATTTTGGGGCATTTGAAAAAAATATAAAGTAGATAGAGAGAAACTTTATATAGCAAAAATAGTCAGCATAGTGAAATCTACAAGAAAGACGATATGGTTGAAATCGTCAGGTTCCTTTCAGGAAGTATGATTTTATCAACTATTTTGAAAACAATAAAAAAAAAACTTTAAAAGATAGGTAGAAACAGAATTCACTATCACTAATAGGAAATGTAATAAAATGCTGCAAAATAAGAAGTTAAAAAAAGCCAACATAACGGATCCCAATAGATTTAGAATAAATCTAAAAATTAACTGGTCTTGAACATGCATGAAATATATGCCACTTGACGTTTAGTAACCACGATCTATCAATTAAAATGAAAATTTTTTACCAGGTGAACGATTCAGGTTCTTGTTTATTTGTTCAGTGCTCTGGGGTGTCCATCTGGTATAAGTCATTTGTATTTGACCTCATTTTCATTGACGACTTTTAGCATAAATCTTCCCCAAGATTAAGTCATTGAAAAACTTTAAAGGGACTACCACTAACGGTAAGTCAATAATAAATATTTTTCAGTAAAGTAAAATTTGGTATGCAATTGAATTAACATTACCAAATCTCGTTCCATAGAGATTGTTTGGCACTGCCCTCCACTTTTCTTCCTCAGTCATAAAGAGAGAATTGTTTGCTTCTAAGTACTAGTCGATCCTTTAAATAAACTTATTCTAAAAGGTTACCAATTCAACACTGTAATTAGATCATTGAATATTGTTTTAATTGGTATTAATATTGATTTTGTTCTCAGTAAATTAAAAGCAAACTAAATATTACTGTTATATACATATACACATTCATGGATCTTCAATCTGTTGATACCTGCACTGCACTAGGTCTTGTTTTTCTCTGACTGTTTATGAAATTTTACACTAAATCTATTGGCTGTTGGATGTGTACTGATTGATAATTTAGTCTTAAATGCATGATTTTTGTCGAGCCTGCAACTTTTGTCGCAGAAAGCTCGACATAGGGATAGTGATCCGGCGGCGGCGGCGGCGTTTGCTAACTTTTTAAAAGCTTTATATTTTAGAAGGTGGAAGACCTGGATGCTTCATACTTAGTATATAGATGCCTCATGTTACGAAGTTTCTGTCAGTCACATGTCTAATGTCCTTGACCTCATTTTCATGGTTCAGTGACTACTTGAAAAAAAGTTAAGATTTTTTGTAATGTTAAATTCTCTCTTATTATAAGTAATAGGATAACTATATTTGGTATGTGCGTACGTTGCAAGGTCCTCATGCCCGTCAGACAGTTTTCACTTGACCTCAACCTCATTTCATGGATCAGTGAACAAGGTTAAGTTTTGGTGGTCAAGTCCATATCCTAGATACTATAAGAAATAGGTCTAGTATATTTGGTGAATGGAAGGACAATAAGGTGTAAATGACACCTGGCAGGTGTCATCTGACCTTGACCTCATTTTCATGGTTCAGTGGTTATAGTTAAGTTTTTGTGTTTTGGTCTGTTTTTCATATACTGTATATATGCAATAGGTCTACTATATTTGGTGTATGGAATGATTGTAAGGTGTACATGTCTAGCTGGTACGTGTCATCTGACCTTGACCTCATTTTCATGGTTCAGTGGTCAAAGTTAAGTTTTTGAATTTTGGTCTTTTTATCTAATACTGTATGCAATAAGTCAACTATATTTGGTGTATGGAAATATTTTATGATCTATATGTCAGTCGCTCAGATTTAATTTGACCTTGACCTCATTTTCACGGTTCATTGCTCAGTGTTAAGTTTTTGTGTTTTGGTCTGTTTTTCTTAAACTATAAGCAATATATCTGTTATATGGAAGAATTGTTAGCTGTACATGTCTGCCTGGCATGGTTCATCTGACCTTGACCTCATTTTCATGGTTCATTGGTCATTTTTTTTAGTTTTCTGGGTTAATGTTAAGTTTATGTGACAGTTGTAATAAAGCTTTATATATAGGACTATCAACATAATATCAATGATTAGTAAAGAAGGCGAGACATTTCAGCGTGTGCACTCTTGTTTTAATAGGTTGTTAGTGGCTTTTAACTACCTGTCAGTAACTGCGAGTACTCTAAGATCTGTACTTAGTTTCCTTATGTTGTTGGAATATACAAGTACGGCCACTTCCACCCTGTGTTTTTGTTAGATGTATTTTTATTTGTATCCATCTGATGAGCTAAACCTTTTTCAACTGATTTTTATAGTTCGTTCTTATGTTGTACTGTTACACCACTGTTCCAGGTTAGGGGAGGGTTGGGATCTCGTTAACATGTTTAACCCAGCCACATTCTGTATGTATGTGCCTGTCCAAAGTCAGGAGCCTGTAATTCAGTGGTTGTCGCTTGTTGGTGTGTTACATACTTGTTTTTCGTTCATTATTTTTGTACATAAATTTGGCCTTTAGTTTTCTCGTTTGAATTGTTTTAACATTTGTCATTTCGGGACCTTTCATAGCTGACTATGCGGTATGGGCTTTGCTCATTGTTGAAGGCCGTACGGTGACCTATAGCTATTAATTTCTGTGTCATCTCTTGTGGAGAGTTGTCTCAATACCACATCTTCTTTTTATACGCCCGTCAAAATTTTGACAGGACGTATTATGGTATACAAATGTACGGCGTCCGTCTGTCCATCTTTCGGCGTAAGTTTTCGTTCTTTCTTGCTGTGTGGAAAAAAATCTCAAAATTGTTCCAAAGTTTTTATAATCTATTGTTCATGAACAATGTAAAATGCTTTTTTTAAAGGCGATTTATTTATCAAAGACAAACTATGAATCGTATAAAAGAGCTTTGATTTAGGGACGACATCAAAAGATCAACGTAAGATAAAAAAAAAACTTAATTCAAATATTTAGGGGTGGAGTAAAAAGTGCTGCAAGTTTTGTTTATTTGACATCGATTTTACATATATCTGTATTGGTCAATCAACTTGATTTTTCCAAAATTAAGTTAAGAGGGGGTTGGGGTCAGTGAAATAACTATGTGAATTAATAAAATTGAGAATGGAAATGGGGAATGTGTCAAAGAGACAACAACCCGACCATAGAGCAGACAACAGCCGAAGGCCACCAATGGGTCTTCAATGCAGCGAGAAACTCCCGCACCCGGAGGCGTCCTTCAGCTGAATTAAGTTTGTTTATCCTACATTGAACTTTTGGTGTCGTCCCTTATTGTCCTGTGAATTTTTATCCATGACTTAATTCAGGCAAATTATTTGCCTTTCTTGCACTATTGAAAATAAGGACAGAGGGACATCAGATATAAATACTGTTAGTATTTAATCGCACTGGTAGCAGTTACAAAATTTTAGATAAGTGAAAATAAGTTGAAATATGAAAGAAAACTTTCAAATAAGAATTACTCCTAAACACACATAAAAAGGGAGACCCACTATAAAAGCGCTTGCGACCTGACTCGCTTCATGATGATGTCTTTAGTTATTGCAATTGATTAATCTTCACTTATCAATCAGAGAGAGAGCTCTACTTATCAATATCAATAAAAATATATTTTAACTGTTGAATGATTTATTCTTCAATTATTTAGTCTTAGAATTTATATCTTTAATTTTCACCAATTGTCTAAATTTGATTTATTGAACCTTTTTGTCTGCTTACGCCTTACATAACTAAAGATGATTGAGATATGTTTAGCCGTTTTTACATAAAACATTTAAAAAATTAAAAACATCTAGCTTGTAAGTTATTTCTTCAAAGACATATATAGCATCATTTTAAAGCAAACTTATTTGTCCAAGGCATAAATGAATGATTGTACTGAAATGAATGAATATATATAGCCTATTGTTAGAAAGCTGGACAAAATTCTGTTTGCTGGTGTTTATATGTTTATAAAAACACAGCTGGTATTATGCCATATAATTTCATTACTAATAGTGATTAAAATGCGTAATCTACGGTTCGGTACCAATTTCGTCGTCAGTGCTAATGAAAATATTAAATTTCTTGGTAACAAGAATGTCATATAACCTCCTAGATGGTATTTTTTAAAGATATATGAACATCAAAACTCATGAGATACGTTTTATGAGTGTTTTTTTTTTAAAATGTCATTGAAGATCAATTAACAAAAATTATGGATTTTTTCCCTATTTTTTCAAAATAATTTCCCCTTCGTACATTGATTTATAATCTCGACGCGGTTTTGATCTCAATATCATAGCCCTTTTAAAGACCACTAACTCAAGTATCGTAATTTATAACTCCCGTGAAGACGCTAATTAATTTTTATCAGTAAATGCAACGACGTCTATTGGAAGGAGTTAAGAGTTATCATTAATTATCTACTGTCCAATCTAAACAGATTGGGTTATCTCGCTTGGAAATGTGACATATTCTAGCACATGAATCCCACGCATAAACTGCTAATTTTCAGACTAACTATACCACGTTTTTGTATTTGGTTACATTTTAAGTAGTTAATTAATGCCGCGATATGAGAGTAATGTCTACCCTGTGTTCAGTTTCCTAGTATTATAATTTTGTGGGGTGGGACTTTGTTTACCGTATATGTCTGTGGTGTATCCATGTAATATGTCTACATATTTTCAGTGTTGTTTTTCAAACACAAATGCAAAGATTAAGGGTTTTCCCTTTTTTTGTGCACCGTTCGAAACCTTTTCCACCTTCTAGCGTTACCTCTGTTCAACTGGTTTTCGGTTTAAATCCTGTTTAGAGCTTCGCTTAATTTCATAATACATCTAAAAACCAGATTCCTCGGTGTTCGAACTTTTTCTGCGAAACTGTTTCCTGATATAAACGTGTACTGTAAAAATCCTTGTATAAATTCAAGAAGAAATGGGTAAATCCAATAATTGTCTTTTTAAACGTAGTCCGAGATTACTCTGACGTCCAACGGCTGTTTTGCCAGACATGCTAGGGCCGTGGGACCACGGCCCTAGCATGTCTGGCAAAACAGCCGTTGGACGTCAGAGTAATCTCGGACCACGGCCCTAGCATGTCTGGCAAAACAGCCGTTGGACGTCAGAGTAATCTCGGACTATTTTAAACGGTGCACCTGTTACATGTACCTATTCTGTAAATTATACCTTTGTCATGTTTGTCAAATGAAGTACTTCTTGAAGTGTACTGTGTAGAATTATATATTTTTCTTATACTATAAGGTTCACCAGAAGCAATTGAAAAATATCATATATGGCCTTGTTCACACCTGGGACTATTACACTAACTATATTAGCCCCACCGGACGCAATTACAACTGGACACAATTACGAACGATTTCAAATGTTTGCCCTCTGAAATCATATTTATTTATGATTATCAATAAATGTTTCTATAAATAAAAACCCTATTAAAATTCCCTTGTTTTCATGATAACACAATTTATGTGCACTTTGTGAATGTTGATGACGATGACAAAATCATTCTGAAAATATTATAAGAAGAACAATCCCGCCTGGAACGTGGAACATTATATAAAAAAAACATAAAGATAAGTGCATATTGCCTTCTTTTGTTTATATATAGAAAGAAAAATATCTCCTGATTCTGTTCATATGCGTGATGCCTTTTATCTTGGCCAAATTACCCCAAAATTGACGTTTTTTTAGACTCTTGTGACCCTATTTACAGTCAAAAGAAAATACGTTAACTTTATTGAAAAGTCCAGAGAACTCCGAAAGAAATGTTGACCTATTTAAAAAACAATCATAGATGAATGATAGGTTCACCAACGAAATGGAAAAATTGAATTTAGTGCTTCTTAAAAGGAGGAACTGACATAAAAACAAAAAAATTCCGAAATCTTTCCTTTTCATATGACCGACATTTTGTCTGCAACCACAGCTGAAGTAATTGAAGTAAAATACAAACTTGCGCATCTTATTTTCCTCTGTAAATGTGTTTGAGATTAGATTAATGTATGTTTTATCAATTAAGGTTGTTGTCATTACTTTCTTTTGCAAGATATATTAATATAGTGCTGTTCGTAATTGCGTCCATATGTGGCTCACTTGACCCGTAAAACCAGGTCACGTAAATCTTACTAAAATATCCTAACGTGAATAGAAAATTATGTGGGATATGATGCAAAATGGAAAGCCTTCATAAATCTTAAATTCTATGGCATAAACAATTCAAGAAAAGTAGTCTACATAAAAAAATATTAATCACAGTTCAAAAATCGTTCGTAATTGTGTCTGGTGAGGCTAGTACAATAGTCCCAGTTTACACCACCAAATTTGTTCTGGGTACAGACAAACCTGTGTACCTGGAACACAGGCACTTGTTTTCTATCCATGGCAAGATCTACCATACATGTGACAGAGTTGTCAGGTCACAACTGGAGATTTGAAAATTTTCAGCTGGAGTTTGGGCCTCATATTTTTATCGACATATTTATCGACGTTTTCAGTGTTCATTTTGATGATAAACATGATAAAGCTACAGATTTCATCCTTTTTTAAGATGACAGTACTATTATCAGTCAGGGGTACTACTTGTACAAGTAATCTTTATTTACTTGAAGAAGTAAATAATAATCAGTCAGGGAACTTACTTAAATGAGTGATTTTTAAATCACTGATTCAAGTAACATTTATCCATAAATGTTGGAAGTAAGAGTTGTCTTTCTTTAATAATCACTTATTTAAGTAGTACAAATAAATCACTAGACTAAGTGATTTAATTTTATTGTAGCTTTAAGGTAGATCATAGGTATATATTTCCTCAGATAGAATTTTTTTATACTTTGCCAAAATCAAGTTTTTCCTATGCTTTTTCCAAAAATATAATAAAAAGTATGGGTCACCGTGCTATTTTTCAAGCTACGGGTCGTACGAAATTGCACAAATTTGCTTAGATTGTTCATTAAAAAACACATTTTTGTGCATAAAAAGAAATCTATGAGATAGAATTTTGAAATAAAATATGAGAAGATAGGTTTTATAATATGCTTTAAGAAAATAAAAAGAAAAAATGGTGTCACCGAACTTGTTTTCTTGCTACAAGTAAAAAATCAAAATTTCCCTATCAGTCCAGTATAATTTTTTTACTAAAAGAGTTATCTCCTCTTAAATGGCCAAGTTGAAAAAATGATTCTAAAAACACAATTATTTGGTATTTATTTAAACATTTTTAATAATGCCTTAAATCACCAAGTTTTCTTTCATTAAATAAACAGTCTAACCTATAAATTGCCTATCTGTCTCCAAATTTGCAGATTTGGGCGAAGATCTAGACCGATTGTGTACTGCAATTGTACAATCCAAGATGGTGGTATACCATGAATCTACCTTAAATATACAATACTAATGATCCAGGTTCTAATTATGTTGCTAAAGTTATCAGAATCAACATCTGTGTTGATAGGATGACTGGTCAAGTCAGGTGATGACCTTGTACTGAATCTGAATGACATGAAAATCACTTGTTTAAGTATCATACCTTTATTTTCTTCCAAAAAATCACTTCTTTAAGTATTATTATTTTAATTACCCCCACTAATTTCAACACCCCAGAACAGTGAAATTTTGATCGCGAACAGTAAAATTTTATTACATAATCTGTAAGATGAAACCTTGAATTTTACAGGAAAATTACTCCCACTGCTGGGAAAAATCTGATAAGAAAGTATCAGTTCATTATGTTAAGCCTTAATTAGGGCCCGCCTAATGGCAGCCGCCCTATAGTGATCAGTCTGTCCGTCCGTAACATATTGTGTCCGCTCTATATCTAGAGAACTGTTATGATATCAAAGTTTATACTTGACATGTGTATTAACCAACACCAGAGGGTGTGTCATAATGTATGTACAACTTCCTAGGTCAAAGGTCAAGGTCAAAAACTTTGGTTTTAGTTGACAACCCCATGTCCTATGGTAAAGATGGTGTCCGCTCTATATCTTGAGAACTGTTATGATTTGAAAGTTTATACTTGCCATGTATATAAACCAACACCAGAGGGTGTGTCATAATTTATGTACAACTTCCTAGGTCAAAGGTCAAGGTCAAAAACTGGTTTTAGTTGACAAACCCATGTCCTATGGTAAAGATTGTGTCCGCTCTATATCTTGAGAACCGTTATGATTTCCAAGTTTATACTTGACATGTATATAAACCAACACCAGAGGGTGTGTCATAATTTATGTACAACTTCCTAGGTCAGAGGTCAAGGTCAAAAACTTTGGTTTCAGTTGACAACTCCATGTCCAATGGTAAAGATACAAATTGTTTACCACACATTATTCACAGCGGGGCCCACAGAGATGGCTCCCATCTCAATGATATCTAGTTATAGCATTTTTTCAACAAATATAGAATTTACAGCTAAATGATTGCATCAAATGCATAAACCTTGATATTTATAAGAAGAAAAAGGTTCATTTTTTCCAATTTTACTAATAATAAAATATAATCTAAACCTATATGTTTAAAATTTATGTAAAACCACAAAATCACAATTTATGACAAAATTTAGAATTTGCTTCTTAAATAAGTGATTTTATAAATCACTTATTTAAGTATGTCCCCTGACTGATAATATACTTATATAAGTAAATTATAATGTTTGAATAATCTCCCCTTAATTTTCTCAAAAATTTACAATCCCGAAAAATTCTCAAGTTTTGAGATGTAAAAACATGCCTTTAACACATGTTTAACAAAAGTATTTGCGCAAGGCCTTCAAAAATTGCCCCTTGGGGTCTTGTAAATGAGCAGTGTTCTGAAGATAACAGACAAATGAGATTTTCATTGTCCATGAAATTGCACTTAAATGATTAGTAAAGACATCTGCAAAGGACAGACAATTAAAAATTCTATTAGAGCAAAGAAGTCCTAAGAAATTCCAGAAAAGAAAATATGATGACTTTTTTACTTGTATAAGTAAAAAAATCTGAATGTTTAAGGGACATAACTAAGCCAAAAAATAATTTACCTATACAAGTAAATAAAATACACTTGTATAAGTATCCTACAAATTTACTTATATAAGTATATTAATATCATGAATATTTACTTCTTCAAGTAAATAAAAATTACTTGTACAGACTGACTATACAGGGTTTCCCCTGCGTCAATTTTCTTTTTTCGCTGCTTCTTTCGCCAAAATAATATATTTTTTGCCACTTTCAATTTTTTTTCGCCAACTAACAATGAACATGAATATATTTTTCTATAAAATTTTCCTTCTTTCTAACAAAAAAAAAAAAAATCAGTTTGCCCCATTGTTGTCTATGATAATTCTACAAATCTTTTTTTTTTAATCTAGATTGTAATGAATAAACACTAAACATTTACTTTTAAAAAGATACTGTAAAATTGCAATATCAATCATGAAATCATAATTTTTTACTTCTTGGAACACGAGATTCAACTTCAATAAGTTTATAGGATATATATTTTCCCGTCTAGTTGAAGGATAAAGACTAAAATCAGAGATTTTTCTTTCTTTTGAATATATAATATTTCTTCGTAGCAACAGTTTTCTTTTACGGACCATCTTAAAAAGAAAAAGTCGAGACTTAAAAGTATGCTTGAAACATGTGCGTCGCCAAAACGGTTGTAAAGTACTGGTACCCACTTCAAATCAATTATTTCTATCAAAGTAAAAGGATAAAGACTAAAGTCAGAGATTTTTGTCGAGCCTTCGACTTTTGTCGAAAAAGCGAGACATAGCGATCCTACATTCCGTCGGCGTCGTCGTCGTCGGCGGCGTCCACAAATATTCACTCTGTGGTTAAAGTTTTTGAAATTTTAATAACTTTCTTAAACTATCCTGGATTTCTACCAAACTTGGACAGAAGCTTGTTTATGATCATAAGATAGTATCCAGAAGTAAATT